AAATAGATATATCATAGTCACGTATTTCCAGTAAATGGCAACCCAATTCACATGTACTGTTAGATTCTGCTTCATCTTTAGAATAAGTGCTCAGCTGTTGTAATTCATAAAATGAATTTATATGAGAGGAACCAGACTACGTACATCTCCTTTGAGAAAATAAAAGGTGTATGTTATTTATCCTGGTAGTTTTTCTACAAATTGAAGAGCTGAATAATTATGAAAATTTTCAATCCAAAAAATATCTGGAAATTTTTAATCTACTTCATAAAGTTTTTCCCCAAAAAATTCACAAGAACTGTAAAATTTACGTCGGTATAAGAATTGTTATGTCTGTCCATTATTACGTCTCAATAATCTTAGTTATACTTTATACGTCTTTATATTTTGTAAATTTGTCCTGATGACGGTCGCATAGCGGTCGAAACATGTTGACAAATTAGTCCATAAATAAACTACAGCAAGTGTTCCTGGATGTTGAGAATCCTTTATTTTCTCATTTATGTTGAAAATTTTCAGGAAAATTTTGTTTTTTTCAGAGTTTGAAAAAATTGAATCTTCTACATTAAAAATAGTAGGCTCTACTCTTCTGCTCTTTTCATACACAAAGATTTGAATCTAAGATGCACTTTGATCAAAAGCGCTGATTAAGTTTTATTTCTTTTTTTTTCTTCATTTTTTTTTTGTTTTTTTTTTTCTCCTGAATTGCTTCATAAAATGTGATGAGGTGCTATAGTAATAGCAGTACATAAGGAGAACTTCCTGAAATTCAAGCAATTCATTGCTACTGCTATTTTGTCTTTCAATTACATTTGCACAATTACTCTAAGGTCCTTTTCACTGATTGGGTAGAACAATTAACGTTATGGTATAAAATTTATGAACTGAATCGACACAGCAGATCTGATTTAGATTATCTTAACAAAGATTGGATGTGACAGTGACAGGCAAAATTAACTTGTGTCATCAACCCTTGTCAAAATGATCCTGTCCAGCAACAATTAGGTCTTTGGGGATACTAGATTCCGAGAGAGGCGATACTTTTTGTCATGTTAGATGCTTTGCATTGTTAAACATTATCTGATCTTGTAAACATGCCGATTTTATCACAAGGAGATTATCAAAACAGAAAATTGCTTGAAAACAGTTTTTTTTTTTTTTTCACTAGTTGAGTGTGACCAATTGTTAAACTCATGTTATCAACAGCAGTATAATGGCGGTCAAATTGAATTTTAAAAATCATTGACAGCACTGATGTCCTCAAGCAACAAATAGTCCTTTGAATTTGACACAGGAATTTGCAATTTGCATTAATTTTCTCAGTTATATAGCTTTGAATGTCAGCCTTGGTCCACCGATATCTGACAGTCTGAAGAGTTACGAGTTCACCCATTAAAAAGTCAATTAAAATGGATAGCTCTATTCTTGTGATTGGTTGCCAATGGGAGCATTTTGAGTCTCACCAATAGATATATTTTGTCCTTGTACCTTAAAGTTTATGTCAGAATTACAGCTTTATATACATGTTCATATTCTCATGTTGATCATTATCAAGTTGGAGAATCTCTTTATCCTGTCTTTGCCACTTTATCTTTCCCTCGAGTATTTTCTGGGACTGGAAACGAGGTATCTAAAATAGGAAATATGTATCCTTATGGAGCAAAAATTTATTTGATTTTTGTTCCAGATTCAGGAAACTCGAGACCTAGCCAAGACCAGTCAATTTGTGACAGAGATAGTACTGCAATGTCTATCTTATTCCGGAGTAGATAAATGTCGAATTGAGTTACAAAGCTTAGCTGAGTTTGGTTTATCCCTTCACCACCAGGGGGTAGTGAAAGGTCAAGGGGTCGCAGCTTTGATGGATGCCCTGATGAAAATAGCATCAACTTTTCCAAAGGTATTTGAGGATATTGTCTTTTACATAAATATATCTATCATAAATTAACGAGAAGTTATCTAGACGAACCAACTTAATTATCTCTTTATTTGTCCAATAAATGACTCTGATTTGATATTGTCTCTTCAGACTTGACCGTGAAAGGGTCATTTCTTCTTGTCTTACAGGTTGATTGTAATTTTTTTTCTTTTATTCAGGTTATGGCAACAGATCAGAACCTAATCACCATAGCAACCACACTTCATTCATGTTCAATTGATCAAGTGATGACACTACTTAAACTCTGTAAGTTTGGAGAAATTTTGATTTGAAAAGAACGAAGAATGTTGAAGCAACAAATTTTACCATTTATACACTAAGTAAATGTGAAACTTCAGTGTTTGACATGTTCCAGTTTTCTAATATTCCGTCATCAAACAGAAATCATTTTGAATTAAATTGCAGCTTGTTAGGGTACCTGAAATTGAAATTCATGATTTTTGGTGGTGGGGGGAGGTGTACATTTTATACGAGGAAGTTACATCTGGATAATTTTAAACAGGTATTGTATTGTACCACTGTATTGGAGTTGTTACAAAAGTGCCCAGAATTTTACAATGCTAACGATCAATCAAAGAAGCAGAAACAAATTAAGATAGACATTGAAACATTGACTCTGGTACACAATCCTTTAAACTGAATGTTAAAAGTTAAACTCTCCATTTACCTTTGAAGGTAAGCTGGTCTTGAAGACAAATGACTGTGGGATAAGTCCTCTTGGTGCCAGGATGTTGATCCTTCCTTTACTTCAGATCTTGGCCACACCCAAGTCCGATTGGATTGGTCGCGAGCTTAGCACCCTGCACAGTCTGGCAGGGGAGATAATTCTAAATATTGAGAAGAAAAGAACAACTCCTAATGAAATGGTGAGAAAATATCAATGTTTATACACCATCTTGTATCAATGACTGTAGGCCAGACATAGAACAATTTTGTTCATAAAGAAATGGATAGCACATTATGTGTATCATGTACCAAAGAGAAATCAGGTTGCGACTATGGGCAAAATGTTTTGTAAAAAGTTTTAAAAACCGAAAAACTGTTTGCTCATTTTGGTCCTGGCATGAGAGCTCAGTGTGTGAAGTGTTTGGCTGTGTGACCGCGGATGAAGATTAAAGGTGTATGGTTTGAAGCTCCCTACCAAGGAAGCTGACAAACAGACCAATCTGAGCTTTGCCATAAGTGGTTTGGATGACATGTTACAGGCCCTCCTGTATGTTGTTCAGTAAGGAGGTTACCAGTTACAAGGAAATCTCAAAATTGTTCATGAGATGATAAACTCAACAAATGACCATACAAAAGTTTGAATTCCTTAAATGTTCATTTTCTAATGGTATTCACAGGCACAAGACTGGAACTTAGAAATTGGATTGACTACAGCAAGTTATGAGGATCAAAACTTTGCCCATTGGACAACAGTCTTCTCTTTGCATCAGGATCAGGCAGTGTCGTGGATGTCTGGTCTGATGTCTTCTCTTAAACTGACCAATCACATCCCATTCTCCTTGACCAATCTAATCTCTGCGTTATTGACCAGGAGCAGAAGTGAACATGAGGCTGGAACGGCCCTTAAAACTTTGACCCTGATAGCTAATCGGGATTCCACTCAGGTAGAACAAACGCTAAAAATATTCAGTACCTTACTAAATGTAAGAGTTAACCCCTTGGAAACTTTTGTCAATATAGATTTTCCATCACTGGCAATGCGTGTTAGGTTAAATATGAAGTTTTGTAACAGGCTGATAGAATTGGGGGAATAATATCTTTACAACTGAAGAAACAATAATTTGATGGAATCCATTTTGATGTGACATTCTTCAAGAAATAAAAATAATGGAACTTTTGTGTGTTAATAAGATCATGATGCAAACTTAGAGATTTTGATATCGTCCAATATTTTTTACAATCTTATAAAGCCAGTATTTAACTTGGCAGAATGATAAATGACTAGTTTTCATTTATTTTCTCCATTTCATCGTTTTCATCAGGCTCCATGGTTTCTGCCGTTGATGCTGTACCAGTTGGGAAGGGAGAGCATTCCATCTGTCAGATTTGAGATTCTGATGACAATACCAAAGCTTGCAACACACAAAGTAAATTTCAAAATTACATTACATATCATATTTATGATCATTTTATCCCTTAATCTTCTACATTGGAAATACCATAAAACTGTCCAAATAACTGTTTTTGACATTTTAAAAAAAAAATTTCGAGTAAATTGAAAAATAAATCTAACAGTAAAATGTAGAAATTTTGACTACATATTGTACAACCATTTGTATATTACTTTGTACAATCACATCAGGTGTGTGTTGGGCCTATCCTTAAAACTATCCAGTCCTTTGGAACATTTCCGGCGATGAGGGGACCTTACTTGCAAATGTTAACAGATTTATGGAAGATCCAGGACAGATGCTTTCCGCAGCTGCTGAAAGAGATCAAGGAATCTCCAAAAGGATTTTCTGACTCCCTGGAAGTGTTGCTTATCAAAGCAAAAGCCATCCGAGATGTATGCAAATTAAGGTAGGTAAACATGCACAAAAAGATTGACGAATATGCAGATTACGTGACATGCAGATAAAATATGATAAATATACAAACTAAAGTAATATACATAAGATCATAAATATGCAAATTAAGGTAATACTGTAAATTTGCATGTATAGTGTGCGCTTTTTTGGGCAAAAACTGTGGTGTCAAAAATGGGGGTGTATTATATGCAGGAACATGCCATTCTAGGGTTATCATTCTCAAGTTCTCTGTCCACCATATTGGATTACCTCCCTTCACATAAGTATATTTAGAGTCGTCGATCATGATAAATTGAAGTTAAAAAAAACAAAGAATAAAAAGAAAATTTTAATGTTTTAATGCAATTAATTATTTTTTGTATATAGAGAAAACAACTTACGACTGATAAATCCATAGAGCACTAAGTAGGAAGCAGTTCATAGCACTGGAGTTACTTTTCACTGAACATGGTACTGATCACTTTCGTTACTATGTGCGAAACAAACACAATCACTGAAATCCTTCAAATTCCTCATATTTGTCACTGTTATAGAAGGACGCCGGATCAAAGTCTGCCTTGTTAGATTTTTTGTTGTCGTGGTCAAACAGGTCGTAATCATTCTCGTTATTGTCCTCCATGTCAACATCAATGGCGGGTCCACTAACAGCCCATCCCATTAATGCTTTGAAGTCATTAACCTTATGACCTCACTGGATCTGCAATACCGGCATGCATGGTTCTGTCATACAGACAGCAATGCTGGCATCTTGGCAATCACATAAGAAATTATACAGCTCTCTCCATCTCTGTTGGACTTTCTGGTCAGGGATTGGGACTTTAAGCATTCATCTTTTTTCTTCCATGCCCGAATGTTGAATTCTGTGATGTCAAAGTGGGTTTGCACGAAACCCAAGTCTTTCGGCGTAGTCAATGTTGTCCGGTTTTTCTTTGGCTGTAAATGATGTTTGCTTGTCGAAGTCAATATAAGTAATCTATCATTAAGTACCTTCAGATACCATGGTGGGTACAGTACTATGGTGGGTACAGATACCATGGTGGGTACAGATACCATGGTGGGTACAGATACCATGGTGGGTACAGTACTATGGTGGGTACAGTACTATGGTGGGTACAGTACTATGGTGGGTACAGTACTATGGTGGGTACAGATACCATGGTGGGTACAGTACTATGGTGGGTACAGATACCATGGTGGGTACAGTACTATGGTGGGTACAGTACTATGGTGGGTACAGATACCATGGTGGGTACAGTACTATGGTGGGTACAGTACTATGGTGGGTACAGATACCATGGTGGGTACAGATACCATGGTGGGTACAGTACTATGGTGGGTACAGTACTATGGTGGGTACAGATACCATGGTGGGTACAGTACTATGGTGGGTACAGTACTATGGTGGGTACAGATACCATGGTGGGTACAGTACTATGGTGGGTACAGATACCATGGTGGGTACAGATACCATGGTGGGTACAGATACCATGGTGGGTACAGTACTATGGTGGGTACAGATACCATGGTGGGTACAGATACCATGGTGGGTACAGTACTATGGTGGGTACAGATACCATGGTGGGTACAGATACCATGAAAGATCATACCAATACGGAACATATCACCTGCTTTTATGGGAATGAGGTAGGACTGAACATTTTCAGATTGTTAAAACAACATCATTTTCTGACCAATAGCACGTGTTCAGCCCAAGCCGAGTGTCATCAATCTCCTCATACTGTTAATAACCATTAATTATCCAAATAGCCTAGCCTTCCATGCTTGTTAAGTCAGGCGCCTGCATGAATTTGTTTACTTAAGATGATTAAATGCGTTAGGGTCACGCTCATTGTGGTTTCCTAATTATCGATGGGTCAAAACATTAACTTCTGCCCTGGGGTAACCAGTAATCAATATTCATATTATATATACTTTTCTTTCTTTTTTTTTATTAACCTGACTCCAAGAACGTACTTGCGCACTGTACCCGTAAATTTCTTATATATGTACAGACAAAAGCTAATGAATATGCAAAATAAGGAAATGTATACATAAAACAGATGCTAAATATGCAAATTTAGTAACTATATGCAGATAAAACATGAATATGCAAATTCAGTAAATATATGCAAATAAGAGATGATGAATATGCATATAACAATTCAAATAATATTAATTGCAAATTAATGTAGAATCATGCTGAAGTTTTCTTTGCTAAGAGATAAAGACCTTTATCCATCATTACATTAAACCATATATTTTTCTAAGACTCAAAAGTTCGTTGACACTCAATTTCATAGAAAAATAGCTAGTTCTCAAAACTGTTACTGAAAATATGTTTATTTTCATATCATGGAAATATGAATTTTTGGCCTATAAATATCCATGAAATCAATGAAGATAAAAAGCCCCACAAAATTAATGATTTTACTGTAATGTATGATCATTTTGTTTTGTAGACCAGAACAACATGGTTCAGATATGCTTGGTCCATTATCAGACATCCTCAACTTGTGTACAGGGGAGGAGGAGGCAGCTGTATCCTCCCTTGCACTAGAAGGCCTGTACTTCCTGTGTGAAGCAGAGGTAAGCACTTTCCCCTGTTTACTAACAGACTTTTTGCTTAGCTCTGACTTTCAAATAGTATTTCATAGCCATTAAATATTATATAATATATTAAATTATTTTATTGCTTGTAGAAAACAAATATAAACAAAACTGGAATACTAGTTAAGATCCAACTTCGGATAAACATGATGGAATGAGGGAATTACCTCCTTCAAAATATTGTATTGACTAGAAATTATGTGTATATCTTCAATGAATTATGTACTTTGACATGTAAAACAGGCTTTATTCAGTCTTTAAGTGATATCTATTTATCATCTCAGAAATGAGATGAGTCGAAATTTGGTTGGAGAAACTTTCGGTGATATCACAGGATTATTGGTGACATTTTTCATGCTGATGTTTGATTTTGAAAAAATGAAAAAAAAATGCCTGAGACTTCACCAATTACAGCACATATTCCAGGTGATGTTTCTTTATGTCACTTAATCCAGTATTTCTTTGTCATAACCAGTGAGACCATTAAACATGTTTGGAAAAAACAGTCGATATGTGAGTCTGCAGTAAATTTTATCATGATAACTTTTCACTTTTTGACACATCCTTTATTTTATATCTGTTCTCAGGTTATTAACATCCTGTCTGCCTGGTCCGTACTCGCTGACAGTCTTGTCCGGGATTCTCGGTATGATACACTTCTCCATATAATTCTTGGCTTTTCTGCAATTTACATTTTGGCATTTCACATTTTTCACAAAGGTTTTTGATAGGCATTTGAGGTATGAAGTTTATCATACATCGAAAGATGGAAAAAGAATGAAGTAAGAAATCGTAAGATATTTCATTCTTGAAATTGTATTAAAAAAAAAAAAAAGTCTGTGCCCAATGATTTAGGAGACCGTTAGTTTCTTTTATTACTGATGGAAAAATAGAAAAATAAGGAATATTTTTAGGTATGTCTGGACTTTGTAATTCAGACAATGGTACAGTGCCTATCCGAGCATGACACTCTACACACGGAATATCTATGCAGGTCTGTTCTTAAGTTTGGTTTTAATTATCAATCTTTGTGTAAAAAATCATTTTTATGATGAAATAGGAATTTCCTGCAAGGTTTAGAACATTCTTTTGTTGTTTGCCTAAAAAATTGATTGAATAAAAAAAATTTTAAATGTGTCATAAAGATTTGTTTCCATGCTTACTTTTCAAATTTTGATTTAGGAAACAAAATTATTTGATGTGTTAAAATAAATAGTTTATATTATTATCATTTTTGAGACGAGGTAAAGTAACTGATAGCTGTATTATTATCATTTTTGAGACGAGGTATAGTTACTGATAGCTACCTCATGGAACAACATATGGGAGGTCCACCACATGCTATCTTAAGAAATTTTGGATAATGTGTCTTACCCCAAAAAACCCCATGACAGAACAGAATAATTCCTGATTTCAGCTTCCTCAGAAACAAACTGTTATGGGAAAGAATCAAACCACACTGTTATTCAACTGATATTCAACAGATGTTGTAAAGTCAGATGCTATGCTAACCCAGTTATTGCAGTCTACTACTGCATTGTCTTAAAACAAGTAAAAACCTGATCTGGGAAATATTTGCAGATTAAGATATTGAAAAATAAAAAAGGGTATATGCAGTAAGCTTGACCATCTTCACCATCAGCATTGTCATCATCATGATCACAGAAAACATCTGCAACAATAGCATAGAAATATTTTTGAATTCAAACGGTGCTTACATTTTTACTTTCATTGACAAATTCCCATTGTTATGTGACCTTATCTGTTTCAAAGAGTAAAACTCTGAACAGAAAGTTTATTTCCAAATTGATATATACAGTTAAACAATTTGATTTGAAATTATAATAAAGGGAAATTTTTGTAGATAGAAAATATCGTAGATTGATCAATCTGTTTGTTGCTGTTTTATCAGTCCTGAAGAAATGAGAAAGATATATTCTGAAATGCAAACCAATTGTTACAGAATGTAAATTTGTCCATCAAGCATTTCGAAGACTGTGATTTTATACGGATTCCATGAAACCTCTACAGAGTGTATATCAGCTGACTGCCGCAGTCTAAATAAACGACTGGTGACGAGAGACATATTGGATTTAATTGCAGGAGTCAAGCTGACATTTGTAGAGCAGTGTCTTGATTTCAAACGTACTTTCGTAAATTGTTATCTTACCCTTGAGAACTAGCATCTCACATCATTTCAATTCTTGATACATGTGTGGGAATTAAATGGCCGTCCGATATTTGCAGAATTTTAGAGTTTTCTGTATTGAATAAAAAACAAGGCATGTGCAATCTTCCTTGGAAAGTACATGTTACATATCTTCAAAGAACATATCACAGATTTCTATTTTGTGTTAGATTTCAGATGTTGACTGACGGCAGGAAAACCTCCAAAAAACAGCTCTTTAATATTTATGAACTAAAATACTGCTTACATTTTATCTTTCTGTAATTTTAGTGCCTGGCTAAATCTTCTCATATTCTCATCTATTGATCTTTAGTAGAACCTACAAGAAATACAATGCAGTTGTTTAATTACATGGGACTAACAGTTCCCAGTTGTCATTGTTTCGGGTAGTTCACGGGGAAGAAATGTCACAGTTCTCAATCAGTTGGTATCCTTTCTCTGAGATTTTGATTTTCTGTAAAATTGCCAGCTGGGTATTTCATTTCATGCTTGCTGTAATGAACATCCTATGGGAATATTACTATTAGGTATCATTGTGCTGTGATCAGCTGATTCTCCTATTCTCCGAGATGAAGCACTGACTACCTGGGCTTTTTAGGAGATAATCTAACTATTGAAAACATGATACAAAGTTTTCATTATCTTATTTTACTTTTTTGGGTATTTGCATGTAATAAAAACTTTAAAAGGTTCGCAAGATAATACTGTAACTGTTTATAAATTTTGACAACAGGAAATTCTGATTTTCAATTTCACGATAAGGTCACATGGATGTGTTTTTCAAATACACCATAAATGTACAAAAGTATAGAAGATGAAGAACAAAAGTTACCACACTTCTCAACAGGTCACATATCTTTATGTTTATGGTAAATGTTCCAAAAATTTGATGGTGATTGATCTTTGATAATTTCAAAATGTATTGAAATCTTGGTAATGTAGTGTTAATTCTTGTGCTTTTCAGACCTGCTGTGGTTGAAAAGATATGTGAACTGTTTTCCCTCGTTCCATCACTTGTAGAGCAGACCACGGATTATGAGGTAAGATATGATGTAATACTTACCATAACTTTAGTATGCATATCTTCCACAAATTCCCATTCATTTGAATATAATATAAACGAAAAAGAGAGCCTAATCACCCTCCCATAAGGAGCCCCTATTACCTGCTTGTTGTACCTCAGCATATCAAATCATCTTACAGATCCATCTAGAAACAGACTGAGCCTTAATATCCTGCTTATTTTATACAAAAAACAATCCAAGACTTGACTATGATTAAGATAATGATCAAGAAGTCTTCTGTAGCAACAAAAAACAATCTCTTGGGCGTAACGATCTCTTTGGCGTAACAGGGGCTACTCACTCATAAGCAAACTATCAAACATTTAATTATGACAAGCTTGATTCTGCAACATCAGAGAAGCTTGACTCCAGGGTAACCAATGAGAAGACTCTGGACTCTGAACCGTTACAGAGCAGTGACTTGACTCATGAAAGGACCCTGTTAAGAAGTTTGACCTCCAATTACGCACCTCCAGTATAGTAAAATTTATGAATGACAAGGAAAAAACAAGTTATAAGGAGATTTTCAGATTGGGGGATAAAATTCCCCAGGAATTTAAAAGCCAAAACGAGCAAGTAAATGTGCTTAAGAGGGAGTGCCCCGAATATAAGGAGCCCCTTTTACCTGCTTGTTGTACCTCAGCATAGCGAATCATTTCACAGATCCATCTAGAAGCAGACTGAGCTTTGATATTCTTCTTATTCTGTTCTCCAATAGTGCTACACTTCATATGATGTCTGTTCATATGTCAAAATTATGCCACTTCCTTTTGAAAAGAAGATTGACATAGAATTATTATATATGACTAGTAGCATTCTAAGGTAGAGGGTTTTTTAATTTTTCACATAACCTTGACCTCATTGCATGGTCACAGGGGTTAGTATGTAAAAAGATTTATATGACCTTCCTGAATATCTGAGAGGCAGACCATCATAGTGTTAGACTAGATCACTGCTGAAAGGACTATTAAATAATAAAATAGATATTACTTATCAAATAATGACCAGTGATTTCACTGTCACTTATAATGAACTTTGTTCAAATTTCTAACAGCATCTTCTCAAAAATGTCCAGCAGTTTCTTGGAGAAAAAACTGAAATGTTCATGGAAGAAAATATGTTCATCAAGACTTTAAAATTCTTAAAAACTGCACTGCTAAATAATCCAAGTGAAGGACTTTATAGATAAGTCCACAAGGGTTTGTTAATTATGAATACAGTTGAAACTCATTGTCTTGAAATCGCTTGAGTCGAAATATTTTTCAAGTCCCGATTTTTTTCCTTCTATATCTTTGTAATTTTAATTCGGATGACTTGAATTTCCTTGAGTCAAAAGTTTGCTTGAGTCAAAGCAATTTTTCAGTCTCTTCAATTGTAAAGCAAGGAAAAAGTCATTTGTTATCTCAAAATTAATTTTGTCTAAACTTTAGCACGTCTTCTGACAAAATCGGTCAATAGACACCGAGTTGAAAGTCACCTGTGTGCAACATAAGGCTAATTACGGCATCACGGTCCATCGTTTACACAACACTTGGTCACTGGCGATTAATTAAATGTTTAATTATCAAATTGAAGGTTGGCTTCTTAATTAGTGTCACTATCCTGTAACAGTGACTTACCTGTACGTTAAAAAAGTAGTGCATTTACACAAAACATGAAAACATTTAGTTTGGTTGTGTGCATCTTCAGGAATTACAAAAATGAAGCATCAAACCAGTACAAATTTTTTGATGAAATCTGATCCCCATGATTCCGAGAGAAATTGATTTTGAGCTTGTAAACTAAAGGACTGTTATCGGGCACTTTGACAGATTTAGTGTTTGGGCGAAGAAGTGCTGAAAGTATTATTCATTTATAGAGTCTATATCTGTGCTTGTTATGTCTAGTACTTGTACAATCTTTGCTGTAACAGGTAGAACCTTTCTAGTGCCACATTTTTCATATGTTTATTTATTCGTAATAAAGTCTTATTGATATGATTTGTGGCTTCATACATTGTTTCTTGTAGCGTATCAGAAGCAAATTTTAATTTCATTTTACGTCATTACGTAAAATATATAATGTATATGTGCTTAGTCAGTAAGGGTATTGTACATGTATGCGGGACGGAATGATGTGAGTACAATTGCATTTGATTGGAGTTGTTATTACATGTTTTGTTATTTGGATGAATAAACAATAAAAAGAGAAAGTAGAATAAATTCATTTGTTTATTTTCTGCCATTTCAAATATCAGATTAAACTACACTGCGTACTGTCGTAGCCCTACTTTGTTCAACCGTAATCAACGTCTGGAAACTGATATTGTCAATGTTATTTATTCACTTCGTCTTAGTCGAAATACAGATAAGTCAAAATATTTTCCACGGCCCCTTGAATTTCATGACGATGAGTTTAGACTGTATGTGACATTGGTCACAAAGGAAGATATCCAGCTCATTTACATTAGACTAGTACTCACTTTTGATGGATAGAAAGTCGATCAGGATCTTCTATTACTTTATCTGGTGGAGTGGAGTTGTTTTTTATTTTATTTTCATTTGTGAAAGTCTAGTTTTATATAATTCTTGATCTATTTTATCTCATTAATTGAATTCTATATTTATAATTTTATTGATCATGAAATAGTAATTGAAATTGGATGAGTATTGTTTATATAAAATTTATTGATTCATCACTAATTGAAAATGGAAACGAAAGATTAATCATTTCCAACAAACCTACTTACTGATATTCTGTTTATTCAATATTGGAGAATTTCCTTATGGAATTCAAAACAAAGTAAAGAAAATTTATGTGAAATAGAACAAAAGGCAATTGATGTATCTTTTTATTTATTTATTTATTTTTTTGTTTCCTGAAAATGTACTGTTACTAAAATTCAATGTAAAATAGATTACTTGGGTAATTTGAATAGGTTTTATTAAATAAAAAAATATTGAAAAAAAAATACATTACCGTTTTGATGGCGATTGATAGATTAATCATATATGTGTTTTCTAAGTGGGCAGCAAAATCTAAATATAATGGATTTTTGTCAACATAATAAGTCCTTTGTACAAATCTGTAACTGAAGACTATCTGTAGTTTGTAAGGGATGTGCTTAAATTTGAGGCATTCACAAACACATTGATCTGAAGGTGTCTAAATTTCCTGAAATCTGTCACTTGAAACTTCCTGTGTGAGGTAGTATGGTGTAATTTGTTGTGTACCGAAGTCATTCAGTTGCTGAGATAGTCGAGTCAGCTTATTATCCTGAAGATAATAAACATGTCTGTTTCTGTGAATGGTGTAGAGCTAATTGCTTATTATTGAAGGAGATGTCTTCTTAAGTGCTCACAAAAGGTTTTAAGACACATCACCAATACCTCCACTCGTAAATTTTGAATTTGGTGGCTCCCCATTGTCTCAAAAATATTTTCCCCTGGGGAGGCGGTAAATTTCACTGTTGTTTAGATAAGAAAACTACTTTTTGGGGCATTTTCTTTAGAATCATTGAAACTTAGATTATGAAAATGGGATGGCACTTAATGTAATGGTCATTTGACTTTTGTATTACATGTACAATATAAATCAGGTCATTTATTATTGCATGTTTAACAACTAAATGGCAGATTTCATAGAACTCTGGTGACTGTTAGGGCCCTTGGGCCTCTTATAAAGAACTCTAGTGCCTATTAGGGCCCTTGAGCCTCTTGTATAGAACTCTAGTGTCTATTAGGGCCCTTGGGCCTCTTGTATAGAACTCTGGTGACTGTTAGGGCCCTTGGGCCTCTTGTAAAGAACTCTAGTGCCTATTAGGGCCCTTGAGCCTCTTGTATAGAACTCTAGTGTCTATTAGGGCCCTTGGGCCTCTTGTATAGAACTCTGGTGACTGTTAGGGTCCTTGGGCCTCTTGTAAAGAACTCTAGAGCCTATTAGGGACCTTGGGCCTCTTCTATAGAACTCTGGTGACTGTTAGGGCCCTTGGGCCTCTTGTATAGAACTTTGGTGACTGTTAGGGCCCTTGGGCCTCTTGTATAGAACTCTGGTGGCTGTTAAGGCCCTTGGGCTTCTTGTATAGATCTCTGGTAACTGTAAAGGCCCTAGGGCCTCTTGTATAGAACTCTGGCAATTGTTAAGGCCCTTGGGCCTCTTGTATAGACCACTGGAGACTGTTTAGACCCTTGAGTCTTAAGTATAGTACCTAAGTGACTGTTAAAGACATTGGGCCACTTGTACGGATCTCTGGTGACTGTTCAAGCCCTTGGACCCATTGTATAGCTTTTTACACACCTGTAGAAAGACGGACGTATTATGGTATGGCGCTGTCCGTCCGTCCGGCGTAAACTTTTATTTGTTCGGAGATCTCCTCCTACATTTTATCGCCGATCTTTAAGAAACTTGGTAGGCTTAATCACCATGATATGAAATTGTGTTTTCCTGAACAGGGTTTTGATTTTGTGATTTGAACAAGGGTTATGGCCCTTTGTTTATTTCACTATAGAAATCTTGTCTGGAGATCTCCTCCAACATTTTTCAGCCGATCTTTATGAAACTTGGTAGGCTTAATTACCATGATATGAAATTGTGTTTTCCTGAACGGGGTTTTGATTAGACAATTTGAATAAGAGTTATGCCCCTTTGTTGTTTTGGATTTTGTATTTTGTTCTGCTTTGCGGTACTCTTGTTGGTGACTGTTAAGCCCTTTGTCCAGTTGTATTGAACTGTGGTGACTGTTTAGGCCCTATGGTCTCTTGTTGCTAACACTGTTTTCTGTTTTTTTGTGCTATCTCCCCATTTCTTCTTTTTGTATTTTCATACCTACTGATTTTTGAATTGTAGAAATTCTGTGAAGATGCTGTGAGGAATTTGTGGCTGTACACAACAAGTGATGATACAAGGGTCTGTGGAGCTGCATTTCAGGCCTTGTCCATGTACAGGGCTGACCAATTCAAAGTGTCTTACCTACCAAGACATGTAAGTATACAAGACTGTTACCTACTTAGACATGTAGGTGTACTACTGTCTTACATATCCAGACATGTAAGTATATAGGTGTCTTATATACAAACACATGTAAGTGTAAAATTTTCTATCTACATGGAAACATGTCTTACCTATGTAGATATGTTAGTATACCAGTGTCTTACTTGAAGAGACAGATGAAAATATATTGTTATCCCTTCCCCATCAATTTTCCTAATTAAAAATTGGGTAGAAATGCAAGGTAAAAATTAATGTTGTGATCACCTCCCCCCTTTCCCCAACACCACATACTAAAAAGAATTTTTTTAATTTGTCTTTTGTAATACAAAATGGAACAAAAACAGACATGTTTAGTATGTTTCTGTGAAATTGAACCAAATTTTCTTTTACATTTTACCATTTCTGAGGTAATAAATAGTGTCTTAATTATCAAACAGTGATATTTAAGCAATTTTGAATGGAAGGTTTCTTTTGGTGTTCCTTGTTTCAAAGAAATAGGTGGATCATAATTATTCAGGAAGTGATATTATGTCATAATAAAATCAGCAGTGTCTTTTTAAAGATAAATGAAATCATTTCAATTTTCATATTAGAAATCCAAAATAATATTAGAGAGAACCAACACTCTTTAGGATCAAGTGATATCCTGGTGATGTCCTGTAACTTGATGCAATAGGGAAACAATTTACTATAAAATCAGCAGTGTCTTTTTAAAGATAAATGAAATCATTTCAATTTTCATATTATAATTGAGCTGAAAAACAATACTCAAATTAATTAGAAGTCACATGTACTTTTATGGTTAAGGGAAGTAACTGAAATATAATTACATGAAAGCAGAGTGATTTATGTGTCTTGATAGATTTAATGGGCTTGTAATTTTGCATTTGTGTTTATGTCATCAAATTAAAGATTGTGATGAGGAAATTGTAACTTTTTTCATAACAAGAAATTATCCATTTCCTCATGAAATTAAAGAATACATGTATAATCAATATCAAAGAAATACCTGTGACCTATTTTCCTTTTGATGAAAATGTCGAAACATTAACATCAGGAGTCATGTATGGTGTGCCTTGTAAACAATTAATATATTTTAATTCTTAAAAACCCCAGAACTAATTAAAAAGAAATTTTGCAGAAAAATAGTAAATTATATAGTTTCTTATGAATCAAAGTTTTATAAATCAAACTTTTCGATGTAGTAAAGTATTTTCATGGACAGCAAAACCTACGGTAACACAGTCATTGACACCTCATGATTCGAACAAAACATTTACCTGTACTGTACACACATTGCAACGAAGAGTTCTACTCCACAATGGGATTACGATGGCCACTATCATTAGCTCAGTGTGACAAGGTTAATTAATGAATGGACACAGATTAAAATTTAATTGCTTACTTACAAGCCATGATATTTTAGCAAAGATAAATGGACTTCATGTGATGTTCACCGCCGCCTTTGTGGTAATGGCATTTAGTTAGGTCTAATTTACAGAATTTAAAATCAATCGGAGGAAATCCTATCACAGGTATGATGGTTTCACACATTCCCAAAGTGTCACTTTTCAGTTTTAAGCATAAAACCATGAGAAACATCGTGATTTATCAGTCAATCATGCATTCTCTGATTGCTTAAGACTAGCTGTCGTAAGAACATCTGCAATCACTCTTGTAATTTCTACGACAGAAGATGTGAGATGTTAGTGCTGTTGTTCCTGGACAGAATACATTATGATATTAATTTTACTCTCTTTTAAATTCAATATAGCCTATAACATTTATGTATCAGTCTTGAAATAATTACTGTAACACTTGAAGACCACTTTCATACTGCATGTTGTTTCATTTATAATTGATCCGTAAATACATATTCTGTGTGACAGGAAAGCACAAATGTAAATTTAAGCATGCATTATTGATTTCTTGTTGATTTCTATTTAAAATAAGAAGGGAAGAAATATCATGTCATCAATACAGCCATGAACATGAAAATGTCAATATAACACACCACATATGATTTGAAGTCTGGATGTCTTGAAGTTTTTTGGTAGTCTCTTGAACTTCGAAACATCAAAGTATGACTGTATATGTTTATTGAGAAAACTTGCAAATTTAAGCATAATTTGTTTAATATCTAATTATGAACATTGGAAGGCAGTTTACGCAGATTTTACATTTGTATTGTATATACCATGAAGTTATCTCAGTTAGATGGGGGTTGTGGTGGTCGAATGTTGAAAGGCATCTAACGGTCTTTATCACTAGCCCTACACCTCCAGGTTGTGGTTTTTCTCCAGGAACTTCGGTTTTCCTCCCCCACCGAAACCTTGCACATCTTCAAAGTCACCAAAATCACCAGCAGTGATAATAAAATTGCAGTTTTTCTGGTAAAACCAATAATTTCCATTCATTCGTATAAAATGTGAATGGAAAAGAGAGTCAAATAAAACCCCAAAGGGAACCCCTTCCTACCTGCTCATTGTACCTTAGGTCCTTCTTTATGATGAATGCCAGAGATAAAAGTGTAGGATAGAGAGGAGAGGGGAGGCAAGAATTTTGAACAGAAAGAGGGAGGGATTCAATAAAGTTATGGTAAGTATTACATTGAGGGAATTTGTTTTACAAGAAAAACCTCAATTTCATTTAAGTAATAATTACCATAACTTTATTATGCTAATTTGTCTTAATGTAGAGGAGACACTGACATTTCAACACCAAATTCAATACAGGGCAGTAAGAATGGCCGAAATAATACCCAGGGGAAAATTTGGAAGACAAAAAATAGCCCATGTACAGACAACGTGGGAGGTGACACATACTATTGACTAACAGACAGGGCACAGCCATTGACTGTGCCACAACCAAAGGACCTAGAGAAAAAAAGATCATCAGAAAATGAAGCCAGAAGTAAAAGTAAGAAAATGAGGTCTGTCATCGCCAGAAGGTGGCTGACATGACCTCTTGAAAGGAAAAGTCTGCAAGGAGAACCCAAGTCGTAGCAAGAGTCCTTGTCCTCATGAACTCTAACCTTGAACCACCCTTGAACCCCTCATTATAGCAGAATCACAGTAATATCCTGCTCACCCTGTTTCATGGGCAGAAACAACGGAGAACAGGAACCTCGCCCTCACCCACCCTGGTTTTATTGAGATAAAACAGCAAGACAAAGCGAGCTATCATCTGGAACTAAGGAAGGAATCCTAATTGGCTCAGAGGTTGCCGAAGAAGGTCTTGACATAGTGGCAACTGCGAAGGCTAGTCCTCTAGCAGAGACAGTAACACACCCTGCCCACCGGATTGAACTAAGGAAATGCATATGCAATCAATCTGTTCCAATCCAGAGAGAGCATCTACTGCCCAAGTTTATGGACCGGGATCCAGAGAGACTTAGGTTGGTAACTGAGCATTCAGAGCTGTGGTAAACTGATCTAGGTGAGGTCTGTTCCAAACTTGACATACCACTCGGAACACCGAGAGTTTCAGATGCCATTTCATCAATACAGACTTACAATGCCTGGAAAGAGTGAGTATATTCGAGCAGCACGGAAGATGGCTGACCTGAATGGTCAAGTCCATCTCTTGACAAGGCAGGAGAACCATGATAAACATGGGATCTGGTACGGCCTTGCTTCTCCAGGTAAGCGACTATTGTAGAGTAGTCTGTTGCCAGATGAATGTCCTGTCACTTCAGCAAATCCCAAAGGGATTGCAGAACCAGCAGGACTGCTCTCATATCCAGCACATTGATGCGCTCTTAGAGCTGTTCCCTAGACCACACCCCTGATGGACATGGCTGGCCAGGTAGGCACCCTTCTCTGTCAAATGTGAATCTATGTACAGGGTCATGGTGGGACTCGGCTTGCAGAAGGGGACACAGGAAAGAAAATTGTCCCGACAAGTCCACCAAGAAGCAAAGTTGTTCACTGAGAGGGTTAAGGGGAACTGGAAGACCCTGTTGTCACAAAATCGAGGTACTTCCTTACCAACTTCTTGATGGGGATATGAAAGTAGGCATCCTTACATTTTTAGGACTTTAATTCAGTTGCTGAATATATATGAAGAGATTGTATTATAAAGGAAAACCAACACGTAAATAAACAAGAAAAAAACATGCAGGAAACAAACGAACAACTCACTCATGTCTGAACATGGATGGAGAAGACAGAGCCCAAAAAAACATGACCAGCACAACAATAAACAAATAGGAAATACAAGTAGTAAAACCACTATGAAAATGACCCAAAAACTCACAACAAAAATAGATAATACTGTCATGTATGTGTGTTGCCAAGACTAGTTGAAAACGGCAAGCCAGCTCAGCACCATATATAAAGAAGGATGTATTACTGGTCATTCGTAAGTACGACAGGCAGGTGAGAGGGGCTCTGTTCATAGGGGTTATTGGGCTGTCTTTTTTGTTTATATTATATGCAAATGAATGTGAATTAGTGGAAGATATGTATACTAAAGTTATGATGAAAATAACTGAAATGAAAAGTTAATTTTTTGTGAAAAATCATTAGATAATGTCTGGAAAATGTGGTCTGTGTATTGCATCATATATCAGTAGCACTATTTCTACCTGTAAACGATGGAGGAAGTTAAAATATCTAGAGTTATTTCCCTTCTGAAAATCAAGGATTCTCTTTGGTTGATCATTTGTGACGTTAATTCCACCACCAGACACATATTCATTTGTAGTGTTTATGAAGACTCTGTACATAAAATCGGCTATATATTGATTAAATAAGCATGTCCGGCACCATCAAACGACTAAGAGGTAAAGTTTGTTATTAGACTAAAACAGTTTGAGCCACAAAGTAGCGAAACAATTCCAGTAATGATAATTCGGGAGATGAATCATATTCTGGCTGATGCAGGCAAACATTATAGGTAAACAGTCGTTTGATGAATGGTAATGCAAATTTACTTAATTTTACTTGTTTGTTTGATGCACATCTATAATTTCATATAAGTGACAACTT